CATCAACTCCATAAATGCGGCTGGGGCATTGGTCAACCCAAACGACATGACCAGGAACTCATAATTCCCATACCGAATGCGGAATGCTGTCTTAGGGATATCAGACGCCCTAATCCTCAGCTGATGGTAGCCAGATCTCATGTCTATCTTTGAAAACACCTTCGCACCCTGAAGCTGGTCAAACAAATCATCAATCCTCGGCAGTGGATACTTGTTCTTTATCATCACCTTGTTCAATTGCCGGTAATCAATGCACATCCTCAGCGATCCATCCTTCTTCATCACAAATAACACCGGCACCCCAAGGAGAAACACTAGGCCTGATAAAACCCTTCTCTAGCAAGTCTAGCAACTGGTCCTTTAACTCCTTCAACTTAGGTGGGGCCATGCGATACGGCGGAATGGAAATGGGCTGAGTGCCCGGGGCCAGATCAATACAAAAATCAATATCCCTGTCGGGCGGCATACCCGGCAGGTCTGAAGGGAAAACCTCGGGGAACTCCCGAACAATAGGAACAGAATCAATAGAAGGGACCTATGCGCTGGAATTGCAAACATACGCCAGATAAGCTAAACACCTCTTCTCGACCATGCGTCGAGCCTTCACATATGAGATAACGCTACGAATGGCATGACCTGGGGGTCCCTCGCCACTCCGAACGGTGAAAATCTGGTAAAGCCAAGGTCACGGTCTTGGCGTGACAATCTAAGATGGCATGATATGGGGACAACCAATCCATCCCTAATATAACGTTAAAATCTACCATGTCTAAAAGCAATAAATCAACACGGGTCTCAAGACCCTCGAACACTACCGCACAGGAATGATGAACTCGGTCGACCACTGTAGAATCACCCACCGGTGTAGATACTTAAACAGGGGTATCCAAAGCATCACTAGGCATAACCAGGTAGGGTGCAAAATAGGACGACACATATGAATACGTAGACCCAGGGTCAAATAGCACTGAGGCACCCCTATCACAGACCAGAATAGTACCTGTAATAACAGCATTTGAAGACTCAGCCTCTGGCCTGGCTGGCAAAGCATAACACAGGGGCTGGGCTCCACCTCCCTGAACCATGTCTCTGGGACGATCTGCTACTGGCTGACCCCTACCTCTGCCGGTCCGAGCTCCACCTCTACTGTCTTTACCTCCACTTCTATGATCCCTACCCCCGCCTCTAGCTGGCTGGGCAAGTTGTGTATCACCTGGTGCCTGAATCATGGGGCGAGGACCCTGCTGCTGAGAGCTACCCGAGGCTCAAGGGCAAAATCTGACAATGTGACTCGGGTCACCACAACCATAACAAGCCCTCGCCTGTTGAGACTGCTGGCCCTGTCGACCTGAATGTCCTCCCCGGAAGCTCTGAAGTGGCGGTGCACTGATGGGCTGCTGATCAGAATAATGCTGCTGAGAACCACCACCGCCTGGAGTACCATGAGAAACCTGGAGTGCTGACTGAAAGGGTCTCGGTGAATGGCCTCTACCATAAGAATCCCTACCTCTAGACGAGGTACCACTGAACCTACCAGAATGACGAGGCCTCTTATCCGACACCTGACCACCTCCTCGTGCAAGAGCCATCTCAACTCTGCGGGCCGCATTGGCCGCCTCCTGAAAAGAAATCTCACTACCAACTCCAATAGCCATCTGGAGACGGATCGGCTAAATCAATCCATCAATAAACCTCCGCACCCTCTCTCGCTCTGTGGGGGAGTATAACAATAGCATGGCGTGCCAAATCAATGAACCGAGTCTCATACTGCGTGACTGTCATAGTGCTCTGCTGGAGGCACTCAAACTGCCTGCGGAGAGCCTCTCGCTAAGTAACTGGGAGAAACTTCTCCAAAAATTACTCTGCAAACTGATCCCATGTCAATGCTGGCGACCCTGCTGGTCTAGATAAGCAATAGTCCCTCCACCAAGTCTTGGCGGATCCTGCAAGCCGAAAGGTGGCGAAGTCGACCCCATTGGTCTCCACAATACCCATAGTCCTAAGGATCTCATGGCAGCTGAATAAGAAATCCTGTGGATCCTCTGAAGAAGCACCGCTGAATGTGGTGGTGAAGAGCTTGGAGAACCTATCAAGTCTCCACAAAGCATCCGAAGACATAGCCGCTCCATCGCCGGTCGGAGTCACAATACCCGGCTGAACTGCCACAGCTGGCTGAACCACTGGAACCTGAGCCTGGGGAGCTACCTGCTCCGGAGTACGTGTAGCAGGAGTCTGAACCCCTCCTCCAGCCTGAGAAGTGGCTGGTGCTACTGGAAGCAATCCTGCTCTAGTGACGCTCTCCACAAAGCCTACCTATCTGACCAGAGCGTCCTGAAGAACTGGGGTGGCTATGAACCCCTCTGGGACCTGAGCTGGGCCCACCGGAGCTGCTGGGGCTGGAGCCTCCTCATCATAATCAACATGAGGCTCCCCCTCTGGGACTGCTGCTCGGGGCTGAGCTCTGCCCCGGCCTCGGCCTCTGGCACTCGTAGGAGCTGCTGCTGGGGGCTCGGGCTGCTGTGCGGTAGAAGAGGAAGCGCGTGTTCTCGCCATCTGCGAAAGAATAGAGTAGAAAGACAATCAGTATTTGAGAAACAGAATCGCACGACAGGAAAGAACGAAAGTGAAACTTTTCCTAACTCCGTAGCCTCTGGGGGATAAATACAGACGTCTACGTACCGATCCCTCAGACTCTACTAAGTTTGTCCGTGAGTAGCGAGACCTATGTAACCTAGAGCTCTGATACCAACTTGTCACGATCCGAATTTCCCACCATCGGGTGTCGTGATGGCGCCTACTGTTGGAGCTAGGCAGGCCAAACATTTAAACATTTTCGGATAACAACATAACAATAATAAAATACCGAGCCTTTAAATAAATGCGGAAGTCTAATATTTCACTACCCAAGACTGGAGTCGCTGTCTCACGAACCACTAAAGAGTGCTACAAACAAGTCAGAATAGAAAAATACATAACGTCTGTCTCGGTACAATGAAAACAAACTGAAAACATAGAAAGGGACTCCGGCCTGCGAACGCCATCTAGGCTACCTCGTAAGTCCCTGGACTGAAGTCAGCTCCCGATCGATGTCCTAATGCTGTGGTTCAAATTTCTGATACTTTTAAGTCTAAGACCCTCCTGGGACCCACTCAAAACTCACCCGAGCCCTCGGGGCTCCAAACCAAACATGCACATAACTCCAACAACATCCTACGGACTCATCCGTGCGATCGAATCGCCAAAACAACATCGAATTAGGCCTCAAGATGAAACATTAAATTTTACTGCTTCTAGCTCAAAACACGTCAAATGACGTCCAAATCCAACCAAACTTTACAGCAATTGCTTAACTCATATTTAAGACTTGTGCCGGGTGTCGGAACCAAAATACGAGCCCAACAACACAGTCTTCTAAACAAATAACACTTTCCAATTCTTTAATTACTTTCAGAAAACAATTTCACGTAAAAATTCATTCCTCGGACTCGGAACCTCGGAATTTGATTCCGGGCACACCCCCAAGTCTCATATTTTCCTATGGGCCCTCCGGGACTGTCGAATTACGAGTCCGGGTCCGTTTGCCCAAAACGTTGACCGCAGTCAAACTTAAATCAATGAAAACATCAATTTTTTTATTTTTTTATTATTTTCTTCACAAATTCATATTTAAACGTTTCGGCTACGCGCCCGGACTGCGCACACAAACTCGAGGCAACCCCCGAGTGAGGTTTTCACGGCCTCAGAGATACAGAGTGAGTAGGAATACAGGTGATGACCCTTTGGGTCGTCATAGCGGATCTACTAAGGGATTGGGTGGTACACCACCCGCAAGTTTTGGCCGAGACTATGCAATAGTATGTATACATCGATGTATATATAGAAGGAATATATACAAATATTGGCAACCCTCAATAACAAAAAGCATCAAGGTGACACTGGCAAGGCACCGCCATTTTCACCCAAATGATGGGGGTTCAAATCTAGCCTAGCTCACTTTTGAGGACTCTTTGTTTCTTTTTTTTCTTTACTTTGTTTATTAATGTGTCCTATTGACTTTTTCTTTGATCTTATAAGTTTAGTTTGAAATTTCTTTTCTCCTTTTTCTCGTTAAACATCTATCACAAAATATATAAAAAAATCTTTCACAAATATATTCAAAGAAATCCCCATTATTGTACTTTCCTAACTCCTCCGTGATTTATCAATAGATAAAGAAAAATTAATTATTTTCTCCAGGACTACAATTTGAAAAGAGGGGGTTGCTCTAGTGGTAAGCACCCTCCACTTCCAACCAAGAGGTTGTGAGTTCGAGTCACCCAAAGAGCAAGAAGGGGAGTTTCCCAAATAAAAATATGTAATAATTGTAACAATAATTGGATCAAACAGACAAAATTATTATAATTGTAGTAGAATCTTATGAGTACTTCTAGTTCTTTGTAAAAATAAAAGAAGTAAAATTATAAGAATATATAAGGATTAATTGAGAGCTCAACATATAATTCGTATTTCACATCGTGAAGATACAGGATCTGATTTTCACTTAGCCCTTTCTTTTCCTTTTTCACTACCTCAAGCCACCCCCATAAATTGGATAAAATGAAATTAATTTTGGCACGAAAATCATTTTCCACTTTGAGTGATCACTACTAGAAATTGGAGCTATGGCAACGCTTTTGAATGTTACGGTTTTGTAACCGTTGCTATAGGTGGTCTACTGTTACGGTTTTAACCGCTACTAATAATTATTGGAACTACCGGAACACTTAGTAACTGAACCGTTGCCATAGTCTAAAACCCGTTCCTATAGGGGTATATATGGCAACGTTTTATATAACCGTAACAATAAATCAATCTATATTAACGGTTATCTCTATTGTTACGGTTATTAATTCCCTCTTTTTTTTTCACCCAAATTTTTAATACCCGCTAAAATGGAAGGACCGACCATCTATTTTTTTTTTTAGTTTTATACCTAATAAAATATGAAATACACTAAACCCCTAAAAATACCTAATAAATCAAAGGCGGGTCTCCTCCAAAATTGCTCCTCCAGTTACTCCCAAAATCACCTTCAAATCAGATCAAAATCCGCGAAAATCAGTCAAAAAAGACCTCAAAATTCCAAAATATAGCGAATTAGAGAGTTGTTTGCGGGATTCAAGAGCTCTCTTCGCGATTGGGATCGAGATTTGCATCACTGCCTGATTCCGCTATTGATTTAAAGAGACCAAGCTTAGCTTTTTAGGGCTTCTATACTTCTGCAGATCGTCAACAATCGTGTTACTTCTGCGGTAATTCTTTTTCCTTCAAAGAGACCTCATCAGCAAATCGAGTCGAGGCCGCGCTAGGCTGCTGCTCTTCGTAATCTCCTTCTCGGGTGAACTCGGCTGAGAAATCGAGTGGTAAGCACCTTTCTTCTCTCTCTGTATTTACCAATTGTATGAATCTATTTCTCAATTTGGACTGCATGTTCTTGTTTTTGGCTGAATATACTGTGTTTTTGAGTTTGAATATGTGCTCCCCTGATATGTTGCTCAGTTTCTGTATACTTTCTGTCGACTGTTAATTCTCTAAAAGTTGCAGTAGTTGTGCAGTTTTATCTAAAGAATTGATTTATCTCTTGATTTGCTTTCTAATATTGTTTGAGTTGAAGTTTATTTTTGGAGTTTACATGTTTTGACAATCAGTAAGTTCTGCACCAGTAGTTTAAATTAGGTTGTGGAGTTTGGTGAATGCAATTCTCTTCGTTTTGGTTCGAAGAGAGTATCCTGTTCTCTACAGGGAAAGGTAATTGAAATTTGTATTTGTTTTGAGTCTGATGAAAATCTATGACATTAATGGGGGTTTCGTTGTAAGATCTCAAAGGACGGAAGCTAAAGAGATGCACTCTTTTAATCAAAGGTGATACTTGCTAAAAGATTTCTCTCCATCCTTCACTTGATATCTACATTATGAGTTCATTTTTAGAATTGCATAAATCTTTGTTTTTTAACTGGAAGAAATGAACCACTCTTTCTTTAAAAACTACTCCATCACTTAAAGGGGAAAAATAAAAATAAAAACTCAACTGATACAGCTATATCCTTGCCTCTGGATGAGAATTGAAATGAGTTTGGCTCTCTTACTTCCTTGCATCAAGTAAATACTGCTAGTTTTTGAACAATTTAATAGCTATGCACTTCCCACTTGTATCTTTATCCCATCAGACGGTCGATTTGAATTGCATCGTTTATAAACATCCAATATGTCCACAAAATGCATTTGCTGCTTCACATGCTTACTTGAATATCTTCTTGTAATAAACTGGCATTCTGACCTTCTTGTTGGACCTTGTTGACGTGGTTGGGACGACCTGTTTTTGTTTTGCAATTCTTATTGGAGGTCATCTAATGTTTAGTTCCTCCTTTACCTTTTCATCCCAACTCTTCTTTCTTGTATGAGCCTTGTTAGTTTTTCCACTATGCATAGGTGATAAATCACCTTTTCTTGCTGCCTCTGCCCGGTATTGTTGCAAAATTGCATCTTCTTCTCCTTCCTCATGCATATCTCTTCCCACATTCAGTGGATGTGGAAAATTGTCGACGAGGTCATGTGTCATCAATGCATTTCCATGTTGTGTATTTGCCAAGGCTGTAGTGTTTTGTTTTTGTTGTAGGACTTGCATCTTATTTTTGTTCTTAGTTACATTTCCAGTGCTAACAACTTGAGATGAGGAGTTTAGGGGTTTAGAGCTTACCAAAGCTTCCAGTAGCTTTCTATCCTCCAAAGAGATTACTGGTTTGCATATATCCAGCTGCTGTTGTCCAGATTTTGACTTCGATCCTGCAGCAGTTGGCGTGGTTGTAATCTGCTGCTGTTGTTCTTTTTGTGAAGTCATTTCTGCACCTCGTTGAATGACTGCAATCTACTGTTCTTGCCCAGCCTTAATATGCATTAATGCCTTAGTAGTGCTGGGAACATCCTGCTGCGGACCAGTAGTTGAAAGCTTTAGTTCATGACCTGGATGTTGCTGTTGTTCAGCCTTGATAGGCGTTACTGCTTTTGTTATTGTTGCTGCATTTTGGTCGTCAAAAGCAATAACAGCTTGCTTGTTTTGGAATAGGTGCTGCTGCCCAGTTTTAGGAGTTACTGCATTTTGCAGCATGTTATCACCTAAAGTGCTTGTACCAAGTAGTTGTTGCCCAGCATATGATGGTGTTACTGTTTCAAGAATCAATGTACCACCTGGTGAATTCCTGGGAATAAATGCTGGTGCATTCATGTTAAGCTTGCTTTTTTGACTGGAAATAGAAACATTATCTTTTTTTGTCATTGTTGGTAAGCCAACTGAAAGCATGTCTTCCTCGTCACTCTCTTGAGCTTCATAGTCAGTAGATTGCCCATCATCTTTATCCACCCAATCCTCTTCTTCATGTTCCACATATTGGGCATCCCATGTTTTGGATTTGCTAACCCTCTCTCTCAAAGTTGATTGACCAACTGCTGGGCAGCCCTTTTATATTTAACTTTTAACTTGTTTAGTTTATACTATATCCTTAATGACATGCATGCTCCTTTAAACATAGAAATATCACGGCATATAAGACCACAACTTCTAAAGATACTTTTGATATGAGTCAAAAGTCTTTCTTTCTTGAACTTCATTTTCAATCAACACTGGCGGAATATAAATGAAACGAAGGTAGTAAATTAACGTGATTTTGAGACATGGACTATCCAAATTATAAGTCGGTATGCATATTGCACTTGTACTACAAGTGTTTATAGATTATCTTTATTCAATATTTTCTCTAGTGATGCATAATTTCTCTGCTAATAATAGTATTTGATACAGCTGGTAATGGACCGGCAATGTCTCCAATGCCAATGGGTTCGCCAGAGGGTTCAGTACTTCCGACAGAACAGCGGATTCTTAAACTGGTTCATCGTTGTCAGGTAATTAAGTCATGAACACTACACGCACCAGAGTATTTATTAGATCAATTTTTAAATCTAAGTCTACAAAGTTGAAGCAATTTACAACAACTCAGGTCGAAAGATCTGCAATTATATGATAGGTTATGATAATTTGTTTTAAATTAATGTAGTAATATTATTAGGAAGCAAACAGTAAATCGAAGAAATGAAAATTAAATAGGAGTAACTTATAATCCACGAATTTCAACTACTATTAGCATCCAAATTAATTTAATGTATATGATTTGTGAGATCATAGTACTAATTATCTATGAATTGTCCATTTATGACATGTTATTTATCGATGGATCGGATTAAGCAGGCCCGAAGACAACAGGGAGTAGCAGTACCTGTGGTGGAAGCCCCTTAATTTAAATCTCCCTCTTCAAATCTCTCTTTTAATTTGACACAGCTATGCTTTATACTCTTAAATAGAAATTTAGTTAACATATTAATTTTTCTTTCTGCAGTACATCCTATCTCCAATTTCTTATCAGTACAAAATTCTGATTTCTTCTAATCTATAACATTTTTCATGGTGAGTACCTACTAGAATGTAGAATGCACTATACTTATAGTGATAATCTCTTTTCGGACGAATATTTTATGTCACAAGTTATCTAAGTGAATGCACTATACTTATTGCTTCTTGACGGATCAATCTGAAACTGTCTCAGAACACCCTCCTTCTTTATTTTAGGTCGAGAGAAGAGATGGTAAAGCTGCTTGTTCAGCATTTGACTGAGTGTTCATAGTCAGGTTATAATAACATAAATCCTAGAGACTTCACTGTGCAAGTTAAGGTTAGGAGTGTCTTGACCTATTCTTTATATCAAGTCGTTAGTTAAAGATTAGATTGATTTGCATGTTTCTTGTTTTGTTTTAATTGTTCTGCGAGTTTGTGATGATTAACATCAGTTATATGTCTTGACATCTAAAAGTTGATATTCTGTTAAAATAGTTTCATTCATATTTGAATGTGTGTTTCTAATGAGTTGCTTTTCCTTATTATATTTGAGCCATTGAGAATTTTAACTTTGTTGGCATGGTAGAATTTTCCACCACAAAATCTCCCACATAATATTTTGTCCAATACTGGAGAGAGAGAAAATATCCCTGTACATCGATACTTTGATGCGTTGGAGGGACCAGAATTGGACACTCTACGGGTAAACTTTTCTCCTTGGTTTCACCCACCCATTTTAGTGGTCTGCTGAAATTTATTTTAGATGTAGATATCTTTAAAGATTACTAGCATGTGAGATCATGAATGTATCAATGCATTTGCAGTTTTGATCTTTTATGTAACCACTGCTAAAGAAAATGAAAAGCATTTTGAGGGTCTGTTACATGCCGTATTGATGTTGTGCACCCGTTAGTACATAACGTTCATCACTTGGTTGAATGAATGCAACCTGCATTGGTATTAAAGGATCAGCTTATCCTCGGCTATAAATAGTTTATTTTGTCATTGTATGTTTCTTCATCTAAAGTAAGAGCAAATCCATGTATCTCTATGTCTTTTTGGTTTTAAAGCCAAGAAGTTACATGCCTAAAATGGAACTTGAGTTCATATTGCTTAAAAGATACTAAATTTTGTTGCACTGATGCTTCTGAGATACACATTTCTGCACTTCTACACATGAGATGTCTTTTCTTTCTTTCCGTTTTAGTACGAAAACACATATATTCTGAATCGAGATGGTAATGTTGGTAACACATGTTTCTTTCCTGTACAGGCTTCTGAGCAAAGTATGTCCTGATATGAAATCAGGAATTAGCTAGTGGTCACAAAAGAAATTTGTGCAAACTGACTTCTTTTCCTTTTATCCTATAATGTGATTAATTTGATATGTTGTTCTTTTTTAGTAGCTTGCATGTACATTTAACGTCCAAATTTGGGTCTAGGTAATGTGTTTCTATAGAAGAGCTTGGCTCATGACTAACATCTTGTATGTTCATTATTTTCTTTTTCTCTTTTGATCAATTTATTTAGTCTAGGCATTCCAGATGAAAGGTAATGACTTTATTTATCCTCTTTTGTAGGTGGAGTAGATCAAGAAATAGAAGATGAAGGCAATGAAGATGTGGACCTTACTTAAAATGAATTTTGAATTGCTATAGATGAATGTTCTAGGAATCTTTTGTTGTCAACATTTTGAAACTTACTATCTTGTAATGTATTAAACTTATGCACTTGGGGTAGAACATTTACTTTTATGGATATTATTAGCCTGTTGGACAAGTTATAATATTAATAATTTTATTTTGTGATTTATTTAAATTTTAGTGTTATTATAATTTATT